TAATACATTTCATAGGTAATCTCACTCAGTTATTTCACCTAGATTTGTCACAAAATCTGTTCGAAGGGAAGATTCCTCCGAGTATTGGTGATTGTAAGAGTTTACAATATCTTGATCTGTCATAAAACAATTTTAGCGGAGCCATACCAGTCCAGCTAATGACTCTGTCATCTTTATCAATTTTATTGAACTTGTCACATAACTCTTTTGGTGGTAATATCCCTAGGGAGGTTGGAAACTTAAAAAATATTGGTAACTTGGATGCCTCTCATAACCATATCTCTGGAAAAATTCCTCAAACCATTGGAGATTGCCAAAGCTTAGAGTATCTCTTTTTGCAAGGAAATTTCTTCCAAGAAACCATCCCCTCATCTTTGGCTTCATTGGAAGGTCTAAGATATCTAGACTTGTCACAAAATAACTTGTCTGGATCAATTCCAAATGGCCTGCAAGATATTGGTCTCTTGGAGTACCTAAATGTTTCCTTCAACATGCTTGATGGGGAAGTACCAAGCAAAGGCGTCTTCAGCAATGCAAGTGCAATATCACTTGTGGGAAATAAGAAGCTTTGTGGAGGCATATCAAAGTTGGAGCTGCCACCATGCCCTCCTAAATCTACTGGACAACGAAAGCATCCAAATTTCAAGTTGCTCATATCTATATGTTGTGTGATTGCTTTTCTGCTTCTGGCATTTGTTGTTGCTATTTATCATGGGAGAAAAAGAAGCAAGAAAACTTCATGTTTAGAAACAATTGACATGATTTCAAAAGTATCATACCAAAGTTTGCATAACGCCACAGATGGATTTTCTATCAACAACTTGATCGGATCAGGGAGTTTTGGCTCTGTGTATAAGGGAAGTTTTGAATCTAATGAAGTTGTTGCGATAAAGGTCATCAACCTTCAAATAAGGGGAGCTCACAAAAGTTTTGTGGCTGAATGCAATGCACTTAGAAATGCCAAGCATCGAAATCTGGTAAAAATTATAACATGTTGCTCTAGCATAGATTACAAGGGCCATGAATTTAAGGCTCTGGTGTATGAGTATATGGGGAATGGAAACTTGGAAAATTGGTTGCATCCTAGAACAGAGAATCTAGATCATCCAAGAATTTTGCTCCTTGATCAAATAATAAATATTCTTATCGACATTTCGTCTGCATTAAACTATCTTCACAATGAACACGGGCAACCTCTAATTCATTGTGATTTGAAGCCAAGTAATGTTCTTCTTGATGGCAACATGGTTGCTCATTTGAGTGATTTTGGATTGGCAAGACTACTATCAACTGTTGAAACCATCTGTAACAAGCAAAGCAGCACAATCGGAATAAAGGGTACTATTGGCTACGTTCCTCCAGGTATCATTTAATATATTTTTTACTACAAGGTCATGCAATTCATTATGTTTTTTAAGTCATTTTTTTTCCATTTTATACTACAATGTTTCAGAATATGGAATGGGTTCTGAGGTATCAACACAAGGTGACATGTATAGCTTTGGCATTCTTGTCTTGGAGATGCTAACTAAAAGAAGACCCACTGGAGGTATGTTTAAAGATGGCCACAGTCTTCAAATATATGTGAAAAATGCATTTCCTAACAAGCTTTTGGAAGTTGTAAGCCCAACTATTTTTCCACAAGAACTAGACCATGCAGTGGTAGCTTCAGGAGACATATCGGAGAACATGATGCAAGTCCATCCTAATGTTGAGGAATGCTTGCGTTGTTTGTTTATGATTGGGCTTACATGTTCAATGGAATCACCTCATGAAAGGATGAGCGTAATTGATGTTGTAAGGGAGCTAAATTCTATCAAAAGCTTTTTTCCTTTATGGTGAGTACAACATCGTCTAAGTGGGTGTTTGGTAATCACAAAAAACACTTTTGAAAATTGTTTTTATACAAGTGGAGACAAAACTTCTTTCACATATTTACTTCGTATATTATATAATTACTTTTAAAATCATGATTTAGTTTTCTTCCAAACACAATATAATCCTTTTGGTTGGATTTGATTTCTACACAAACCAATTTGATTTACCTTTTTTTTTTTTTTTTTGCATCTCATATTTGGATTGTTGTTGCAGGTAAGGGAATCGTGTCTGCTCAATTTCCTTGAAGTAATCAAATTGTGATTGGGATGAGCCTAACGCTGTTAGATTAGGCATCTTTATTTTGTGGTCATATTTGTGATATGTCAGGGTGGTTGAGATTTGTGGGCAGATCTTCCTCTTCGTTGTTAATTATATCTTCAAACGTGTTTTGTCAAAGGTTCCTTTATATTCCTTTACTAATTAGCATTATTTTACACAGATTACTGATAGAATTTCTGTTGCTAATTACCTATGGAATAATTTTGTCCTTGATGTGAAATTCCGTGGCTAATATGTTTTTATTTTTATAATTTCAAAATGCTGCATGTGAAGTGTTTCATTTTCTTTACTAAATCAATCTTGTTCATACATATACATGCAATAAACAAATAATGATGTCATTAAAAAAAACAAATAAAGAAGGATGATACTCCCTCCAACAGCTTTTTATAAGATTTTTTTAAACTAAATTACATAACTTAAGAAAATAGTTAAAATTAGTTAAATATAATAAATATGTAAAAATTAAACTTTTTCTTCTAAGTACGCTCCTTATTCAATAAGACGACAAATAAATAAAAAAAAAAGAAGTACTAATAATGAGATAAAGAATGAAAGAGAATGTAATATGAGAAAAGATAAGGAGAGAGAATAGGAAATTAATTAGGGATAAAATTGATAAAAACACATTTAATGTTTAGACACCCCTAAATAAGATCTTATAAAAAGGACTAAACCAATTCAAATTTTGGGATCATATATAAAAAAAGACGGAGAGAATGTGAAATATTGAAATTAATTTGGGGTCTGGTTAGATAGAAGGATGTGATTAATTAGAGGCATATTCTGTGGTCATTTGAATCATAACTAAGAAAAGGTATTAGCAAGATAAAAATTGACAAATTCTGGTTCACAACAAAGCTTTACGACAGGAAAAATCTCTTAAAAACACACTTAAATAACCCACATTTTATTTGGGTCATTGAATTTACCATTCAAAGACTTATTGAAAGTGTGTTATGGAGACATAAAATTGTTAATTTAAAATTGAAAGGTATTGAATCTCAGGTGGGAGAGGTGCCCACATTTAGTGCTTGACAGTGTCTTGAATAAGATTGCCTCGAATAGGAAGATACCTATGTTTTAGTAAAAAAAAAATTGAAAGGTATTAACTGAAAAATGAAACATATTAAGTTAGAATTCTCTTTTGGTTTCTAATAAAACGGGCATTAGAATCACTTCATAAATTTTAAATTTCCTTTTGGCTCATGTAACTTAATTACGGATTTGATAAATTTAATAATCCAAATAAGAATTTGTGTTATTTAAATACCTTTTTAGGGAATTTTTTCTTTATAATAAACATATTATAACTCAAGCATACAAGATATTTTTAGAAATTACCATATCAAATTTCAGAATTCACAGGTTTCCTTTTGCATATAGCAAAATTTTTACAGCCGGAGGCCTTGCAGATGGTTCTTAGACGGCTTCAAGTGGCAGTTAGGTTCTTGAATGGTAGTTTTGTTTTTTTGCTTGTTTGTTTTTGTTTTCCGTGTTGCTCGAGTCTGTTTTGTTCATCGTGTTTGTGTTACTTGTTCATTGTTTAGTCTTCTCTAAGCTCTGTACTTGATTTTTCCATTAATAATATTTGTGTTTATAGTGCCAAAGAAGTAGTTATGGGGGAGAAATTAATATTCCTATAATTTGATCTCTTTCTTAATCAAATGTTTATAATTTTTTTATTGGGTCGTTATAATTTCATCAATTATAGACATTGGTTATTATACTCATAATTTGTTAATTTGTAAGAGAACCAATGCGAATAGCATATGACATGGCTCTCACTTATCATACTCCTGAATTAATTGTGCCACATAGATATAGATAAAATCAAAACCAACCAAATTATAGATCATATAGACGCAGAGACGGTAATGAACATAATATTTTTTTTTTATGTTGATAATAAATAAATCTGAGGGTTAAGGTGTAACAAGCACCCTCAACTATTTTTTGAGGAGCATCAAGCACCCCAAACTATTAAGTGATGCAATTTTGTCCCTAATTTATTAAAATGGGTGCAATTTCAATCTAAATTAATGGACTCAAAACTTCCGTTTTCTCCCCGTCCAATCAGTTGTTGGTTCGTGACGTTCACGTCTAAAAGCCTAAAACTGAGATTGACCAAATACACATCATCCTCATCCTCTTAAATCTGCGGACTTGATCTTTGATCATCCTAGAGAAAAGCGCAATTAAAGACCATGTTCTCTGGCATTAGATCGTTTCTTGAATCCTCAGTTCCGCCGCTGCCAAACCCTTTTCCTCATCATCGTCCGCAACCACACTCTCCAGCCCCCTATCTCGATATCCTTAGATTGTTGCAGATCTCCGAGCTCAGCTTGCAGAGGAATCACATTCTCTTGTTGACTTTAACGAGGCCATTCGCGAAATTGCAAAACCACACAAATTATTTCATATGAAAAGCAGTTTGAGCCCACACCGCAATGCTATTTTACTATGAAAAGAAAAGAGTCTGCTCATGTAGTGGGGTGTCTATAAAAGATGAATCTCAATCCCAATATGAGGTTCCGGCAAAAGAACCCTCTTTCCTACATAATCATTTCATTCAATCTCTGTTCAATTTTGATATTGACTGGAAACAAATGGAAGAACCCCCACAACTCATACAATTTTTTTTTTTTGGTAATATCTCATGAACAAATTATTAAAAACACAAACTTTAATCATGTTGGCAAGCTAAATGGAGAAGTGTTTGCCCAGCCAAATACCAACTCAAAGAATGGGAAGAGCGAAGAGGAACATCCAGAAATTGAGGATCCTAATCAGAGTGTTGCTGAAGTGAAAAATATTGAGGATTTTTAAAGAGAAAATGCAAATTACAGAACAGAGAAGGAGGAGAGACTATATGTAAGGCGGATGAAAGCACAAAAAAGGAGAAGGGGAAAGGAAGGAGAAGGTGAGAGACGCAGGGTCAAATAGAGCCAACTAGGAGGGGGTGAGACGCACAGGATTATTGTGGCATATCCCACCAAGTAGTGGTAGAAATTCCAGAAGATTCTATATTTATGATCCTTTTTTGGCCTCAAAAACAGAGCAAACACCTATATTCAATTGAGCAGGTTTCTCTCAGCACCATTATAATATGTATTTAGAGAAGTTATCCACAACTAGAACATAATCGGAGCACGTTTTCTACCTCTCATGAGGTTGAGATTTTTTTTTTAAATTTTATCTATTCTAAATAAAGCACATAAATTTTTTTTAGTTTTTTGGTTGAAATTATGGAGCCTTTTTCTTTAGTTTCCAAATTATCTGGAGCAAACACCTGTATCATTGAGGTCCTGTTTGCTTCAACTTCTTGGGATTCCAATGTAATTTTTGGTTGAATTTAACCAGAGGAATAATCTCTTCATCATTCCTTAGGATTCATGACCTTATACGTGTTGATCCTTATTCCCACCTTTCTGTTATTCTCTCTAGTCCCAAATGCATGAGGTCGATAACTAATTGCAGAGATTAAAGAAATTAGTTGAGCTAATTATTTGTGTAACAACCCCCGTAATTCATGATAAATAAACATTTTCAAAATGATAATTGCTTTAAAAAGGCTAACCATGGTAGGAAGGACAAACCTAATCAAATAGAAATCTACCATAGTCAATAACAATCCAAATCTTTAACAGAGTAGTAGCTACTGTTCTAGGATAGTAAAGATAGTTAATCAAATAAAAAAGGATCAACATTTGATTTTTCATGTATATATCAAATCCATCAGCAAAACTCTGAAATCTCAAATACAATTAAGACCAATTGCAAGTAGGCTAGGGCATTTGAAGTCCACCAAAATAACTACCACTACTGCCCATCATCAATTGCAATCAAAATAACAATCACATATGTCCAAAAAGGGCTTCGCCCAATAGTACAAGTCGAGAATGCAGCGGAAAGGCTATGATTATGTTAAGTATAACAAAAAGGCCCTAAAGTTTGGCAATATATATCAATCAAAACATGTATACCAAAGCAGAGGCTATACAGAGTGGACAGGAAAACTCAAGCCTCGGACACCTTCCCCTTGGGACCAACACCTGAACCCTCGCCTGAAAATGTTAAATAACCATGGGGTAAGTCAAATTGACCCAGTAACCACAATTCCAATTCAACAAGTATCCAGAGAGTGATTACAAGATAGTTAAGCGGGCAAAGTACAATTTCAAATAATATATAAGTTAAACATCTTTACAGAAAACAATATATAATAATTCAAAAAGTAACTTGCATGCATAGAACTTCATCAACCATCCTTATAACCTCCTTGTAACTTCTGACAGAACCCATGGGCTATTTACACATAACAGGATTCGTCTCTTTTACAAGACTGCACCAAGCTCTCCAATGATGAGGTGTAACTCGGCCAAAAGTTACAAAGCTTATATCAGACCATGGGTTCCCTTTCCTTGGAATATGGAAAGGTGTCATGTCCCTTGGGCTGACCCTTGACCCGGCCAAAGGAAGGGTGATACTGAGGGCCTTAAGAATGTTAATGCCAATCACTGGGCGCCAAGTGGCAGCTATACCACGTGGTATAAATAATCAAACCTCCCATAACTACATTTCAGCACAACCAACACAGCCCAATCCAACCATTCAATTCCACATAATCTCATATTCATAAAGTATTCTCAGATTCAATAATCAAATTTGTTCAACATCAACAAGATATTCATAAGATGAAATAATTCATGCCCACTTAACTAATAAATTTAACGAAACATAAATCTTGATATAAATATATAAATTATTTTTCATACAAAAATCACCATAACATATATTGATAACATTTATAATATCAACACATGCTTATAATCACATCAACAAGCATACAAGGTAAATTAGAAAGTAGTTAACTCAAGTTCTTGACACGAGAACTAAAAGTAGGAGGATTCAAACCCAAAAGCCCAAACCAAGCTCACTCTACAATAATAAATTGATAAACATATATTAATATAAAAAGACTAATTAATATAGCATTAAAATAGTTTATTAACTAAATCCCTATAATTGGCTTACCTTAAAAATTATCTTTAGGAAAAATAATAATTCATCTATTCTTCCAAGTGACAATTTCTAGTGCTTCCCAACTCTATTTCTCTCATTCACATTATTAATAAGAATAATCCCTTCAAATCATCTAAAAATCTCCAAAAAGTGCTTACTTTAACTCTTAGAAAAATAACCATATATCAACTATGCCTTCAATCATTATTAAAATCCTATTCCCTTCTTCCATTAATCATTTCTCATTCACTAGAATCAATAACTTATAATATTTTCCTCAAGTTCCTCCAAACACCCAACTTCTACTAATTAAAGTCTCTCCAAGAATCATCAACATTACTATTTCAACAACAATCCTCAAAGTTTAAGCATTGGATCCTCAATATAACCTCAAATGAACCCAACTAAGAGATAAATTTCGAAATTAATATCATCATTAACACAAATCACAATTTCCCAACCAAACCCTAACTTATATTGTCTCAAATCAACCATCCAACTAAAATCTGAGTCATAAGACTTTTATTCTAACCACATAAGCTCCATTAATATCCTAATACTAAATTAGAAACCTTAAAAATTAAAAATCTAACAAGCCCTAATAAACTTTATTTTCTGCCATAAACTTATAGAAATAAAAAGAAAAAGTTAAATAAAAATAGTAGGATGAAAATAGCTTACCTAAATATTTTATATGTATCTAAGTAGAGTCCTTCCTTTCTCAGACACTCAAACTACCTCTCACACTCACTCACTGTCACGGCGAACCAGAGGAACAGCGAAGACGAAACAGCACGAAGGCTGCTGGACGGAAGTAGGGACAACGAATTAAGTGTGTGCTTTTTAACAAAGTGTCAAGTGTGGGTCACGTGCCCACACTTGATGCCTTAATAATTTTTTTTTTTGGCTTGAAGGCCACAGCCCAGGGGATTAAACCCCCCCCTCCAACTGGCAGTGGGTGGCCCACGTGCCACGCACTTGCCTTTTTATTTATATATATTATATATATAATAATTTATATATTTTAAAATTTTTCATTTATTTATTCTTTTCATAATTTATATATAAATCACAAAAGTTATGATTTACAATTTATTCAATAAGATTAATTTTAAATTTTATTAATTAATCTCATACTTATATAACTTAAATCCTATAATCAAATAAAAAATGGAATGTTACAATTTGTAAAAAAAAAAATGCAATGGTTTCTTAAGATATACTACTCCAGGTCCTAATTATAAGAGTTAGTTGACTAATTTGAAGAGATTAAGGAAAGAAGTTAAGTTATTTATTTGTAATAAATATGTGTTGTCTTTCCTAAAATATCATTGCTAATCAAGTGTATTGGCTATAACTACTATTGTTAAAAGAACTACCTTGGAAAAAATAAATAAATATGAAGACAAAGTGAATTGGAATCTTATATTTAAGACCAAAATAAAAGTCAAACAAAATATTATATTAAGGACTGGAGGTGGTACTATTTAATAAGCATTTGAACTACTCCTTAATAGAAATTCTTTTGATACGTGCAATAACAAAGATAGTTTGGGAAAGAAAGTACAAATTTAAAAGACAAAATGAACTGAGATATTACATTTAGGACCAAATAAATAAAGCCTTTCACTAGTTCTGTATTTAGGACTCGAAGGAATATTTCATTGCTCTCTTCTTAAAATGTATCTATGGTCATTATCATTTTGGTCAATTCCTTTCTCCGCCACTCGCATTATGTCCCATTCCATTCCTATCCTTTCTAACAACCAAACAGGACATCAGTTTTTTCCTCTTTATTTTACAGGAAATGATACGTACCTGAAGAGTTCCAAGGCAGAAGATGGTGATGCCAACAGCTCTATGGGTGTCATACTCAACAGCAACAGAGTCATGGCCGAGTTTGAGACCATAGGCCCAGCCACCAACACCGACGATGTAGGCAGAGGTTTGGCAAATGATGTGAAGGTAAAACCAAGCAGAGTCTGCTGATTTGAACACTTGCAAGTATCTTGCTATTATGGCTCCTGTTGGCAGCATCGTCCCCCAGCTCACTGCGTTCAGCACTCCATGCACCTATTCTTCATCATCATTTCCCACCACACGTTAATAACCTGCTTTCCATTACCACATAATTAATATCAATATATATAAGAAAAGAAATTACACTATCTATAAGTGTTAAATACTAAAACTTTACTCCAGATTTCGTGTAATATATGGATCCCACTTCCAATCAAACTAGTTTCTGTCCTGACCACCTTGTAAAACCATAACTAATGGTCGCAATTATAGTTGTCTTGCTTGCAGGGGCAACAAGTTGGAAGGACTAGTTGGGATTTTGCAAACTAATAGGAAGGCATTTAGCCACTGAGAGTTATTAGTGTTCTCAACACAGGTTGCTAATAGAACCGGTGTAAAAAAGTTAATAATCCCCCATCTTATTTAGGAAAATACCATCGGCTGCACTTTCTACACCATCCCTGCAACAATCGGTATAAAACCCGCAGCTAAACTTAAGAGTCTTTACCAATTGGTTGAAGAAATCCCAAGATTGTGTGTTATTTTCCTTTTACACTTCAAATATTATTAAATGATAATATTTTATCGAGTAATAAAATATACCTTCTATGCCAAATATCAAACATTATTTCAAGAGTAGCTTTCAAATGCATCATTGTCATACATGGTTTT